CTGGCTGCAGGAGAGCCCTGGGCTGGGATAGATAGCAGAAGACCAGGTGGGAGGCTACCATGGTTGTCTGGTCAAGAGATGATGGTGGCTCCATGTTGGCAGGGGAGTTGAAGCAGGACCTGAGAATTGATTGACTCTGATGGGTGCAGGAGAGGGAGGAGTCTAACGACTTCCAAGTTTCTGTGACCATCCTTGATTCCAAGGTAAAAATTAGCTAATCTAAGACTTTATCATTGCCAAAGGGAAATTAAAAATACCTTAAGCTCCATCCCACTGTTCCATTTCTGCCTTGGCATTCATACATAAGACAGTGCCCCAGGCCGGTGGGAAGGAAGCTGTCAAATCAAACCAACAATGTCCTCCAGGAACCTGTGGTGGGAAATGCATGGTATTATCCAGGCACCATAGGAGCCCCAAGACTTATGAGAGATAATCCTGTACCTCTGGGAGCTTGGCCAGGTAGGAAGGATGAGTGAGGGACACCTGACAGCCCTGTGTTTGTGTAATGTGGCTGTGCCTTTGTTCATCCAGTCAACAAGTATTGCTGAGGAAGTACAATGCTCCAGGCACTATGCTAGGTTCCAGGGATGCAGTAGATTTCAATGTGCAGTCTTCCTGGAGTCTGAAACTGGGGCTGGCTCCCAGAAGTCCTTGTCCACTTCTTGTATGGGAATGCCTTTTGGTGAGGATGAGGAGAGGCAGAGACTTGGAGAGAGTTTTGATCCCATCTCACTCATCTTCCCAGGACCCCATTTCTGTTGGAGGGGAGTGGTTTTTTGTTTAGGTGTTTAGGAACATCCCTGTCGGGAGATAGGGATATAGACATTTGTCACTATTTCTTCAACAAATGAGTATTTCTGGGGATACTGTGTTAGATTCTGGGGAATCAAAATGGAGCAGAAAGGCTTATATTCTACTGGTGCAGGCAGATATTTGATAAATCCTTAGCAGGGGATAGACGCAGAAGTGTAGGAGGGAACTCTGTCTGTAGTGCTTTGGGGCCCCAGGGAAGGAGGCTGAAGTCCAATCAACTTGGAGAAGGCTCCTGGAGTAGGTGACACTTGAGTGAAGTTGTGAGCCATAACTGGGGTCACAGGAAGAGAAGGCAGAAGGCTGTGCTGGGGTAATGAGAGCTCTGAAGCCAGAGCTTCTCCTCCCCCATCCCCTGCTGGTTTTTATCACTTTTCAATGAAATCCTCCCAGGCTAAAAGAAAAAAAAAAAAAAAAACCAGTGCATTTTTCAAAAGCATAAGGAATCGTCCAAAAACATCTGTACTTGTTTCTAATAGAAATGACCATTGCCAGGAAAACAGCAGAGTTGTTTTGTTGGAACCCTGTCTATATTTATTCCTTTGTCTTTGTTTAATTAGATTAATCCCTCAGTAGTTTCCCTTGGGTTGGTACAAATCACCCATGGCCATAAATCCCCAATATTCAAAAAACAGCGTGAAAGGCTGATCCGCATGGAGCCAACTGGCAATCTCAATGTTTGTCCCTTGCGCCCTCCTTCATGTCTGGAGTTCTATCGGCCCTTCTGAGGGGACAGAGCAGCCATCACTCTGAGACTTGTTTCACAGAGGAATGTGAGGCTTGGGGTCTCAGATAATAAAGGAGAGCCTGACTCTCAGGGCTGGGCATCTTTTCCTCTGAGGACTCGGGGGACTTTTTATCCACTGGATTTGGTGATACTTGCCTGACTGCACACTGGGGACATTTGGAGGAGTTTTAATAAACACTATTCAGTTCTGGTTTACTGGGAGAGTACCTTAGCATTAGTATGTTCTTATCCTTTTTTTTTCAGTGCTGAGGGTCAAACCCAGGGCCTTATTCATGCTAGGCATGTATTCTATCATTGAGCTACATCCCCAGCCCTTGGTTTCTTGAGACAGGTCTCACTATGTAACCCAGGCTGGTCGCAACTCATGATCCTCCTTCCTCAGCCTCCCAAGTGTTGGGATTACAAGAGTGTACCACCATGCCTAGCTATCATGGGTATTTCCAAAAAGTTTCCACAAGGTTCTAACAGGCCTCTGAGGTCAGCACTGCTGCTTCGGTAGCTGGGACCTTGAAGTTATTCTTGGATTCTATGCGGATGTACCAGCCTATCTTTAAGGAATCCTCATAGCTTACTCTATAGGAAGAAGTCTCTTTTTGGGGTAGAGATTGGTGCTTCAAGATCTTGGTCTGCTGCTTTCTAAAGTGTTCTTTTGTAATATGTTCATTCTCCCCATATCCCATTATTTAAAAGCTCTAGTTAGAAAATTTAAAATCAGACAATTATAAATAAGTGAATTCCCGCCACTCCTTGGTCACCATGATTAGGCAGGATTCCTACTGACCTGGGTGGCGGGGGCAGGGGGCTGTATAAGGCAGCAGGTAAAGCAGAGTAGGAGGAGCCAGGTGCAGAAGCTCCTGCCTCCCTCCAGAGATAGGCGTAGGCTTTTGGGGCAGGTGGTACCAGCCTGCCAGAGCCTCATTTCTCATCAGTACTTGATGCCAGGACATTGCCCATCTCATAGGAAGCTTAGAGTCTGTAAGGGAGACACAGTGGCTATACTGCTGCGTAAATGCATATGTAATTAACATACATGCCAGGAGGGAAACGACTAGGGGTGTGTTGCCAGCAGTGGGTGAAGCCAAAAGCTCTGAACAAGTCAAGGTCCTCACAGCAAGTGTGAGTTTTCTCATTTTTGGTTTGCAGGCAAACCAAAGCTACTCAACCTGGAGTTCAGAAAACTCCCACTGTTCAGAACAGTGATTTTCGTTGAACTGTGCTAGATGTCCATCCATTCAAGTTCCCAACACTGAGAGACTGTGATGCTGCTAGACGTCATACCCTTGCAAAATGCAGCTCGGGTAGGATCACCAGCCTCCCCTTTTAAGGTTTTCCCCTTGAGGTCCCCCATGGCCTGTGTGGATGGCTCTCAGCCATCTGATGTCAATTCCTGCTGCTTCCCCTGGAAAGCAGAATGGAATTCTGCCTTCCTCCACTTCGGCACATTTGCTCCCACTGTTCCTGCAGCTGTAGTGTCATTCCCTCTCCATACATCTAACCCTCCCCTGCCAGCCTTTGCCAGTCCCCACTTGGCTGGCAATAATGAGCCCCAGTTCTGAACTCCCATAGTATTGACACATCTCATAGGAATTTCTTCATGTTCCACTTTGTGTTTTAGTGATTTAGGACATCTGATAGCTCCTCTGGTGCTTACTTCTTCACATGGGGCCAGTTTGTTCTGCCCCAACACTGTTGTTTTCACTGTTCTTGCAGCTAGAACCACACTTCTGGAACTCCTACTAGAATACAAGCTGCCCTTGTCTGTTTTGTTTACTGCTGTATTCCTAGTGCCTTGGCATAGTCGATGTTCACACATGGTTATTGGATACTTGGATGAATAGTCTGTGATTCAGAAAGTTCTTATTTCTCTGGCCTATAACCTCTAGGTTTTGTCCTTCCTTGATTACTTGCTATGATTTTTGCACCAGCTGGAGTTTTTCTTTTCTTTTCTTTTTTTTTTCTGGTTATTACTGTGTTCATTACATCTGAATCCATTGGAAATCCCAATTGGAGTTGTAAAATGAAAATCTAAGATACAAACCTACTAGTAAGAGGCAAAAGAATTTGAGTCTATAATTTTTTTGTCTACTGTTGTTGACTTGGAAGTGAAAATACTCCTTTTAAGATTTTAAAACCAGGAAGAATCCTCATTTATGAATCTTAAATCTAGGCATTTTCTAATGTGATAATGTAGATTTTACTTTTAAACACTGTTCATTTCATTTAACAGAGATGATGAATCAAACCAGGCTTTATCTTTTTGTCAATTTTATATTTATCTTAAGCACAATAGCCCATGTTCTAAAAGATCTAGACAGTGATATTAAAATGTCACTAGTGAATTCAGGGACAATCAAGCATTCCAGGTAACTGAATTTTAATCATACATTTTGTTGTCTTTTTTAACCAGAGAAAGTTCCCCTTTAACGTATTCATTCCCTTTAATATTCTCTGGTTTTCTTCAGTTTCAGTGATAAAATCATTGGTAGAGCTAGCTGTTTCATGGCATCCAAGCTGTCTCCTGGCTGGGAAATAGTGTCATCACGTCTGCCTGTCTGTGCCAAGGAGAAGCTGAGTCAGTGGTGGACTGAAGATGCCTTTAGCCTTTGCATCTTCTGACACATTCTTACTCTTATGGCAGTGGCAGTGTGCCTGGACAGACATTTCTGCCCTCATACGCATGGATAGCCAGGGCTCAGAACTTTGTGGATATGTAACGAATATTTGACCACAATAAGACCACAAGTAGCTACACGTCCATTTCTTTCTTGTAATCTTTCTTACCTCTACCTAACTTCCTTTGGCTCCTCTGTTTTCCGCACTTGTTAGTGGAGTAAATGAATAGAGCACAAAGAGGAATTTTTAAAGATCTTTCCTGCAGATGAGCTAAGGAAAAGTTAATGGGAACTTGGGAATTAGGGGCTATTTTTAGACTTACCATGTTTTCAATAACTGTGCTCTCCCTCGGCTGCCCCATCTGCAGAATGCCAAAGACAATGACACATTATCTCTGTGTACATCTGTGAGGCTGTGATTAAGTACCGGAAGGATGGGAATGGAATCTAATGCTCACAAGTGCAAAAGCCTGCTCATGATAACACAGTTCTCAAGAGCCCTCAAAATATGCTCAAGGCACTTTTCATTGCTATAGGAAAATACAAATTGATACTAATTAAAGTCTTTTAATGTATTTCATAGAGGTGAGAAATGATTCCAACTTTGAAAAAAAGTTTTATGTACACAGAAACTTATCAAAGTATCAACAGCAGCTGTTGTTGGGAGGACAACAGGTGGATTTTCTTTTATGTTTTTTCCACATTTCCTATGGTGCTCACATACTCATATTTATAATATTTTTGAAAGTTATTTTACAATGCCATAGTCATTCTGGGCTGATGACACTTCTCTTCCAGAGTTGTGTTCTAATGGTGCAACTTTGCCTCAGTCCAGGATTTGTGTGCCACGGAGGACCACGCCTGTGAGCAGCTCTGTGTGAATGTGCCGGGCTCATTCGTGTGCCAGTGCTACAGTGGTTACACCCTAGCGGAAGACGGGAAGAGGTGTGAGGGTGAGTATCCACCCCTCCAGTCAAGCTTAGGATGGAGGGTGGGGAGACTCACCATGTACATCCTAGTGCCAGTTACTCTCATTGGGTTCAACAAAGTGCTCAGTTCTTTGGTCTAGTTAGGTAGAATTTGAACTTCCTTTTTTAAATTTGTTTTTGCAGTATTGGGAATTGAACTCAGGGCTTTGTTCTTGATAGGCAAGTGTTCTACCACTTGAGCAATGCCCCAAGTTCTTTTGCTTTTAGTTTTGTTTTTCAGATAGGGTCTTGTACTTTTTCCTCCTATGCCCCTAGACAGTGATCCTCCTACTTCCACCTCCTGAATAACTGAAATTGCAGCAGTGAGCCACCACTCTCAGTTCTGACTTCATTTTTGACTTTTTTTTCTTTAACATATTTTTGTTTGGGGCTGAGGTCAACATTTGTTCACTCCAGATCCTCAGCAAAAGCCTGGTACAATAATCTGTGTAAATACAATCACCTGTGACTGTATTGCTTGAAAAGAGCTGGGTTCAAATTTGGAGGTATGTTTAGGATGACCTGACTTAAACACATGCATTATACATTGTACATGAAATTCACTTGGTGGTAGACAGGGATGTCATGCAATACCTTAAAGATGTTGGCAGCCTTCCTCCCTGTGTTGGGCCTGAAGATGAGTGAGAGTTAAGAGTGTAAGAGTCTAACTGTCTGTATCAGGATCCCATTTGCAAGGGTTGGAGTCATGGCTCAAGTGCAATGCCCTGAATTCAAATCCCAGTACTGCTGAAAAAAAGATAGCCTTTTCAGAGAAAACAAATAGTTGCCTGAAACACAGGCCCAGGGGGAAGGCAATCATTGGAATTTGTAGTCAGCTGAGCACCTTCCCACTTGGGCAACTCCATATTAAGTGATCAGATGAGAAGTAGGACAGGTATGGGGTGGCATCTGATTTGTTTAGTGATGGATGATAGTTATCTTCAGTACCTGCAGAACAGGCCAGCAAATCTCTGATATGTAGATAGCCCTCCCTGTTTGTCCACAAAGCCTTTGCATGCTTCATTCATCATTGTACCAACAAGAAGTGCCTGGCAAATGGTAGGTGTTCAGTAAGCTTTCTGGGTTCTTAGGAGGCCAAGGAAGAGTATCTGACTGCCATCAGAACTGGACCACAGATTTCCTATCTAAGTCCTGCTTTTCTGTTCCACGTCCCCCTGCTTTTAGGGGTCTTGTTATGTCTTGCTTCCCACAGTATGTGCTTATATTTTTGCACATAGAGTTTACATTTTCTTTTCCTTTCCTTTTTTTCATTCTCTCTCTCTCTCTCTCTCTCTCTCTCTCTCTCTCCCTCTCTTTTTCTTTCTCCTTTTCTTTTACCTGTGCTAGGGATATGAAAGGGTAAAAAACAATAAACCAAAAAGGTAATATCCTGCTGTTTTCAAGTGAGTGATGAAAGTATCATGGCTTTGGTTTTATACACTGATGGGGTTGAAAAACACCCTCATTAGAGGTGTACACATTGAATTGGTCTCTCAAGCCTTAAGGTTTTGGTTTGTTCATTAGTTTGGGAGGTTTTGATTTTTGTCTTCATTTTTTTTGGTAGAACTGGGGGTTTTTGAGCTCAAGGCTTCATGCTTGCGAAGAGGCACTCTACTGTTTGTGTCATATATCCAGTCCATATTTTTGTTCTGGTTATTTTGGAGATGTGGTCTCTCAAACTGTGTGCCCGGACTGACCTGGAACCAGGATCCTCCCAGTCTTGGCCTCCCCAGTAGCTAGGATTATAGATGTGAGGCACCTGGCAGTTTTTGTCTTAGTATGCTGGGTGTTGACCATGACATAGTGGCAGGGTACAATTTTCACTAACATTCACTAACACTAGCAAAAAAGAAGCCAACATATAAACACCAACTACTACTACTATTATTATTAGTATTGCTTCATTAATTTTTATTGTGCAAGTAATATTCTTTCATTAATGAACTTAAACAGATGAGAAATATCACTATTAATAGTTTATTGTAGGGCTGGGGATATAACTCAAAGGTAGAATGCATGCCTTGCATGTGCAACCCCTGGATTCCATCCCCAGCACCACAAAAAAAAGGAAGAAAGAAAAATAGTTCACTGTATTTTCTATCATACTGTCCCCATAGAAATATCTACTTCAAAGCATTTTCTTAATGTAACTTTGGGAACTGTTGGATGAGGAAACCAGGCCTTTGTGAGGAAGGCCAGTGGATGAGCTTCAGGAAGCAGAGCAAGTAAGTCTGGTTGATCCGGGGAGGGAAGAACAAGGAGAACCTGGAGCTTGTGTGGTCATAGGCTGTAGATGAGGCAGGAGGCCTGCCTTGGCCCTTGGGAAACTGGAGGTGAGTGTTGCCAAATAATTGCCTAATTATCCCAGTGTAGTAGAGAACCTTTATGTCTCTGGATTTTGCTGTAACTTCTGGGATTTGACGTTTATGGAAGAGCAACAAGCATGAGAAGGTAGATGCTATGGTTGCTGGGGAGCTGTGGAGTGCCATGTTTGTTAGAGATGTATGTTTTTCCTGCTGCTACTTATAAGCATTTAAGGGAGTCCAAGTAGAAGAGTGGGAAACTGGGAGAGACCACGCATCCCAGGATGAACCAGGTCTCATCCCTCATATGATTCTAGCTTCATCATTCTCAGCACCACCACAGATTAATTAATTGCTTAATTGGAGTGTATGTCCTTGGTCATTGTCCTGGACAGTGGTTGTCCAGGACAGTACTGACAGCTGCTGATCATTACGAGATGACTAAGCAGATCTTTGAGTCCAGTAGCCTTGGTTAGGGAGTCTAAACAAATTCTCAGAAGGCGAGTTGTTGCTCCATGGGGCTGTGCCAAGTGCACAGTAAATGATAGACCATACAGTCTACAGATGGTCAGAGAAGAGTGACATCCCTAATGGCTAAGCTGGAAGATCTAGGTATGGAAGGAAAGGTAGCAGTTGCACAGGTGTCCAAGGAAAGGGCCAATAGTAAAAGCAGTGATGGTGTGGAAGTGGCCATGCTCTCAAAGCATGAGAACTGAGACTATGGGAGGGGCAGGACTCACTTTTAGGAGCTGGCAGGTCAGAGAGAGACTGTAACAGTGAGAATGTCAAATTGAAAGCTAGACAGGCAGCCTAGCAGCAGTCTGAAGGGGCTTGTCAAAAAAGAGGCTCCAGGTACCAGACTTAGAGAGGAAATTTAAAGAAGAGCAGAGGCTAGTAAGGATCCTGCATATATTCCACTAGCAGCTTATCTGGATGGCCTAGGTATAAATGAGCAGAGAATGTTAAGACAAGAGTGACCATACATCTCAGTTAATCCAGGATGGTCCCAGTTTATGCCTGTTTTTAATAGGACTCCTTTTCACTTTAAAAGGTATTCCAGTTTGGATGCTAACTTACATGATCACTCTAGTTAAGACATCCATCTCAACTTAAGCTCTGTTACAGCAGAGAATTCTTATAAGCATAAGCAGCAAATGAAGTTGAAGATATCAAGAGAGACCAGATTGTTCAGGGCTTTGGAAATCAAGCTAAAGAGTCTGGATTTTAAGCCAGATGTGGTGGTGTACACTTGTAATCCCAGCTACTCCAGTTGTGGAGGTAAGAGGATTATGAATTTGAGGCTAGCCTGTACATAGTTTACAAGCCCCTATCTCAAAAACAAAATACAAACCAAAGGACTGGAGTGTGGCTCAAGTGGTAGAGTACTTGCCTAGCATGTGCAAGACCATGAGTTCAAACTCCAGTACTGAAAGAGAGAAAGAGAGAATGGATTATATCTCTAAAAAGAACCACTGAACGGCTTATAATTGGGGGTGACAAATACAAAACCTCATATTAAGAAACATAAACCCATGGTAGACCGCAGGATGGACTCGAGTAGGGCTGGGGATGTAGAATTGAGGGATTTCAGGAGGAAGATGGAGAAGAATGGAAAGGCCAGTCAGGAGACAATGGCATGTATCCATGTCAGGATTTGAGTAGTGACTGTAGGAATGGAGAGGGAGAGATTAAGTAAGGGCTGAAAGAAGGAGCTATGGATACAGAGGAGAAGGAAAAGTCTGAAGAGACTCCATGAACTTGAGCTTCCACGATTGTGAGAGTGAGGGCAACAGTGATTAAAGAGTGACAAAAACAGATTTTTAGAAAAGATAATAAACAGTTATAGGCAAGGAGAGTTTGGGTCAAGGTGGAAGGACATGTCAGAACCAGCTGAAAACACAGTCCCAACTCCAGAGAGAGAACATAGAACCAATGATGCAGACAGGAAGTGGCATGGGTCTCTCTTTCATTATTTTAATTCCATTTCATTTTTCATCTTAAATGTTTATGTGTTTATTCATTAAAGGTGTCTGGACCTCCAAGCCAGGAAGGCCTGAACTCACATCCCAGTCTTGCTCCTTTCTAAACTTGTGTCTAAGTCACTTACTCTCCAAGCCTCAGTTTTCTCACTCATAACATGGAGTAATTATATCTTCCACATGAGGTTTTGGGAATAGATATTGAGTAAAGGTCCAAATAGACACCAGGCACTGGTCGTTATCATTATAACACCTTTGGTAAATCATTCCCAGGCCATGAGCGAAACATGGAGTGAGAAGCGAGTGGAAGACCAGGCATTGGACTGCACCTGCATGCAGAGAGCAGAAAGAAGTGAGGGCAGGAAAGTATCCTTGAAGGGTCAGTCTGAGGCTGGGGGAGGAGCAGATAGAAAGAGGAGAGAGGAGGAGAGGAAAAGACAGTGCATCAGAAGAATCATGGGATATGACAGGGAAGAGATTTCTAAGTTGGGTCAATATTAATGGCATGCTTCAGGAAGGCCAAAAGGAACAGAGCTTAGGAAAAAAGCCAGAGGGCTGAATCACTGATTCACCTCAGCAAACATTTTGTAGCTTTTTGCCATGTGGTCTGCCAAGTGTGAGGGATACAAAGACAACAGGAAGCCAGGAATATGGCAGAGTGGGTGGTTGGGGGTTGGGGGGGACAGCAGGTCTAAACTATTCA